AACGTGATGAAATTTCCCGAGTTAAAATGCTAAAAGATAACCAGGAATCTAGGGAGGATGATCGCCTTCACCGGTTCACTCTGCTGGCCCAAAGATATAATTAAATCGTTTGATTCGGTTTATTAGGGTAATTTGTGGAAATTTACTGAATAAAGTTGTGTAAAGTCGGTCTGGATGGTGGGTCTCAGATATTTAATGCTCCTTCCTTTCCATTCGAAGGTGCCGGAGGTTGGGTTTTGCATCAGGCAATTCTAAGAATGGGCATCATTTACGATTTCTAAACGTGACAACCGCTTCGCTTTGGCCTTTCCAAATGTTTGCACAACACAGATAAGAGTCGATGTCAATTGGGTGATGTCAAGAAGGGCAAGCCCTTTATTTTATTTAAGCTGCGTGTAGGTGAAACACTTCGGATGGAGAAGCGGGTGTGCTAGGGTTTGGATGTGCAGGTAGGGAAGAAGCCGCAGGATGATATTGAATAAACAGGGGTGTAACGTTGCATCAATTTATCAATTTATATCCAGTCTTAAATGAAACAAACGAAGCATACGACAGTTAGAATCGATTTTTTTTCCGTATATGTTGCAAGCTACGGTAACAGGTTCATGTGTTCCACCCCCAGCCGATAGGCGCTGCTACAATCTTCGTTTGTAAAAAGCGCCCAAAATAGTGGCGGACGGCTAACGGGAATTGTTGCACCTAGAGTCGGTTCAAAATACATCAATTAAACGATCGCAATCGGCTGTTTACATGCACAATACATCAATCACATCTTGCTCCGTGACAATCGAATTTTTTATCCTCATGTAAAAATGATTTATTGGGCCCAATGGAGCGAAATTAAAGTATACAAATGAAACGGACAAAATCATAGAATCGTGAATAAACTTTGCTAGCCCCATTGGCCATGACATGTCCTGTATTTACATTGTGATGAACAGTAGTGCCTCTAGTAACTGCAACCTATTACAAGCAAACATGTACGATTTTCTTTTGTCCACGCTTACACGTGTATTGTTACGAACCAATATTAGCCAAAATAGATCAATAGATGTATTTCAATGCAATTAGTACTTTGAAATAGCATTAGTTTTTCAAATTAGCATTGGTTTGAAGAGAACCATCGAGGTATATAATTTTCAGAAAATATAGCACCAAATAGGCTATGGTGCCAATGATGCAAATCGTCAGAGCGATGATGTTGTAGTTCTTGGCTCGCTCTCCGTGCATCTTGGCCCCGTGTAGATCATTGACGTTCTTGCAGTCTCGGGACTGAAGGGCGACAAGTAGTCACACTTTGTGTCAAACGTAAAAAGGACAGCCCAAATTCTTCTTAAGCCGCGTGGCAAGCGCCTCGCTCTGACACCTATGATTAGTTTTACATGTAGGCTTGCGCGACCAATATCATCCATAATACAGGTGTTTTTGGGGGTTAGATCGCGTACATATATAAACGTGTCGTTAAACCCGCTACCGCCCGACACAACCAATTAGTAAGGTTTGTCACGTAAACAGAACATGCCAATCTGTTACTGGTACAGCACACCGCTGTTTTGGAGAGCCAAGCCACAACATTTACAATCTGAGTACGACATTTCGCCAGTAATTACAACTAGCTTTATCAGGTGACAGCCACATTTGTGGCTGTCGTCTGGCAAAACGTCGCACTCAGATTGTAAATGTTGTGGCTTTGCTCTACTAGTAACGAATTGGCATGTTCTGTTTCCGTGACAAACCTTATTAATTGTCTTTGTCGGACCGCTCCAAATATTCGCCACTGTTATTGGTGGTGAGCGGGAATCGAACCACCACCAAATCACACCATGCACACACTTACACTTTAATATAAATACCCACCTTGATGGAATATCTGAGAGCAGCAAAGCCGATGCAAAAAGCGTTGCAGTAGAGAAAGTTGAAGAGAGACCAGGAAATGTGGTCCTTGGCCGCCTGTGCAGCCTGGGGCTGTGGCGAGACGGCCGGCGTGGTGGGCATTAAAGTCACAGCCGTGTATCTTGTCCCATGGACCTCGCCGCATGCCTGGGGTCTACGTCGCTCATGGGCACCACGTCAAATTTGTTGTCCATCGTTGCAGCTCTTGGGAAGCAAGCGTTTGACGAGTGCGTGAGTGGTAGGGGGCTTTTATATATCTTGGCGCGTGCGTACGTGGGAAGGAATAGTACATGGGACGTGTGCGGGATCCTCTAGATAAGCGTGCCAGCTTCTGCGGCAGGTGTTGCGGCGACGTGATTAGGCGAATGCATTCGTGGGAAAATTATGGGGAAAAAGTGGGTTATACCCTTTCTGGAAATCAATCAGGTGTGAAGATATTCAGATACCAAATGCTGTCGTTTCCTTTTGAAAGGCACGAAGTCTGCATTAACCACACACAATTGTGGCAAAACATCTTTATACCGTTTTATTACCAGAAAATGTAAAAAGGTTCCATAGATAGAACTGTTCGACCCGAGATGTAAGTGCTCTGATACGTGCATTGTCTTTGTACTGTTCGCCTTTTGGCATTGTCTGGTCTAACACTGGTGGTGAGACAAGACAATAAAGAATGCTGGCTCTGGTGTAGGCGATTAACTTCAAAGACGACGATGAAATAGTCGCATGTGCAGGTGCTGGGTGGATTGTTACAAGACAATGAGGGACGGTGACTGCTTGTTGCGGAGGCCTTCATCCAGCAGTGTATTGATCATAGCTGATGATGATGATTGCCTCCTTTTTGTGTTTAGTTTGTTATCCTTCACAACATATCCGATAAGCAAGGTTGGCTACGTACGGTGCGAAAGAAGTTTACATACATTTACAAAAACCATCTCTTTGAATGTACACACCTTTACGGAGTAAAATGACATATCTACCTAACTTGTTAATCTAAACTCCTGGGCAATCCCATTATTTAAGCAATTGATTAACCTCGGATAACCTCAAATATAATTGGAAGGAAACTTTTGTTGATTTTGTCTAGCCATAGAACAAAGAGGTGCACTGCATCTCGCGCTTTCAGATGCGCTTCTGCGGCCGTCTGGAACGCTCTTCCTTCCGATATTAGGAAGCCACTGGAGCTATTCACGTTTAAATCATCTCGATTGAAAACTAAATTTCTTTAGAACTGCTTTTTGTGTTCAGTCTGTTGTCCTTCCCCCGCACCTCCAATTAGCACGGTTGGCTACGTACAGTACGAAAGAAGTTTAATATACATACGTACACATGGCACGTGGCTTCTAGGGGTTTCCCGCCTTCGGTAGGCAGGAAGCCGCCATTTTTAAAGGGAGCCGAATAATCGATCACAGCAAAAAGTCGTCGGTTAATAAAGTTATAATTAAAAGTGAGACCCACGACTATTGTCTACTTGCCATGACATTTGCACTGCAAATATGGACACTTTAAATTAAAATGAAACTAAAGCTGAAAAGTGTGCCACGAAGTATGGGAAGGTGTATGCTTTTATTAACACTGCTAAGCAGGTGGAAGAACACATGGGTTATAGAATGTACACAATGCTGGAAACAACATTGACATCCAACGTTTTGCCTGATGAGCTGGAAACGTACTTAGGATCTGAATATTCAGTTTTTGAACCTATTTCCGTTTGCATATTTGACCTTGTCACACATCTGCCGAGACCTCAGTCCCCAGTGAGGCAGATATAGGATGCTGTACCAAGCCTCGTATATTCACAATTGTGCGGGCCAGTGGTGGGACTCTGGGACTCCCGGCCCTTCGGCCTTGTAAGGGCGAGGTCCGAGGAAGCCAGAGTTGAGACCCGCACCTTGGCTGGGTCGGGTCAGGTAGCCTGCCCTAGGGTAATCATAAATGGAGGACCTGAGAGCGTAGACAGTGTCAGGCACGCTAGAAGTAGGCTGTGTCCTTAGGCTGTATTAGTACTGTTGGAGTGGTGTGTTGTAATAAAGAAGTTGCCTCTGAAAGTGTCTCCGGAACCCATTACATAACATAGTTTAGTGGATTGGGAGTGTCAGAGCGGATTTGTTGGGGTGCGTAGGGTGTGGGTGGTGATGGTAAATAGACTCTGAAGGCTACAAGAGGCTGGCTATTTGAGTTTGGGCGGACAAAGTTGTGGGCTAAGGGAGGTATGTGGTGCTACGTGTAGGTTGACTCAGGATTTGCGATGTGTAAACATTGTCACTGGGCCGATAAAGGCGGCCGAGCGTGGTTGCTGGTCATCCAGCAACATTTTTTCTACTGTTTGTTTTTGTAACGTTCTGTGAAAAATAACTTTGGGGCCGTTCATAAATGACGTCACGCACCTGCGGGGGGGGGTCAGACATTTGTGACGATGTGTGACGAGGGGGAGGGTGAGAAATGTGACGTCACATAAAAATGCGCAACTTTAAATATAGACAACACGTTCTACTTAATTAAATAGACTTTTAATAAATGTTTTCTACTACAACATCAGAGTGCAGCGCCACATTAAATACGCACTACAATGACAATAGTTTAAAGCGATTTGAAGCATGTTTTTTTTTTTTGGGGGGGGGGCAGAGCTTTGTGACGTCACATTTGAGGGGGGTCTAACTTTTTGTGACGCCGTGTGACGAGCAGGGGGGGGGGTCAAAAATCGTCCAAAATCGCGTGGCGTCATTGATGGATGGCCCCTTTACAGCTCATCGGATTCCTCCACTACTGTCGTGTCCGGTGCCAGCATTAATAGGTGCTCGCTAACAGCACTTGCCGCAACAGTCTGTGCAAGGCTATGCGGGAGATCTTTGCTTTCTGCATGCTGACTCCGAAGGAAGATTTCAGTAAGACGAGGAGGGGCTGCGGGAAGGATGCTTAAGAAGGGCGTGCAGCTTTCGTTGCTAATGATGGTGATTACCCAGCATGGTGGAAGGGATCGTTTTTACAGGGGGAGGAGGGGATGAGAGAATGTGTTTGGTGGTGAACGCGGGGTGGGAGGATGGTCGTGAGCAGTGGGCGGTGCAACCTAAGCATTTAAAGCCCCCTCATCCCCCACCCCCCAACATTACGCAATTCTTACAAGCGGACCTCCTTTAAATTCATCACACTACGCCTCCCTGTGCTGCATTGAGAGACCGCTTGAGACGACTGCTCCTGCTGCTGCTGGACACACAGACTTCGCCGAGGCTCTCACACGTTCAGTCGACCTTCTCTTCAGATCAATGGACAACTCGTATCCACTCATGGACGACGGCACGCGCGCCGACTATCGCAAGGGGGGCGAGCCCGGCTACGGGGCTCCACCTCTCTCTCAGCCGCAGGTGATCTTGGTGCCCCAAGGAGACCGTTCGTCGGCTGCTGGCATCCGAGATTTCTTCGCCTGGTCACTCTTCAACTTGATCTACTTCAACGTGTGCTGCATGGGTCTGGTGGCCACCATCTTCTCCGTCAAGGTCGGTGTTTTTTGTTGTTGTTCCAGTCACCCCCCCCCCCCTTCCCCCAGGTACACGTGCACGTTGCATGATTGCTACATGTCACCGTGGAGTCGAGGTGAGCGGGGGGGAGGGCGTCTCAAGTGTTGCCCTCACCAAGTGGAGGGATTCTCCGAAATGGGGCTTGTCCAGAGCAGTGGTTCCCAAACCCTGCGCGATTTGGTAATCGTGGAATCCCCGAGAGGTTGGGAACCGCCGGTTAGGAAACCAAAATAGGAAGAAGAGGCATTTTTTTTCGAACAAATCTCTGTTTCAAGAGCCGCGATGCGATGTGAAATAGGAGAACGGTGGAGGCGAGTTTCCCTGATAAATAACACCACAAAGCGTTCCTTAAAAGAGCCACGCGGGTTGCCGATAGCTCGTTATAGGAGTGTGCATGTTTTCGAGTGTAGGGCCTTGATTTTAATAATATTTTTCAAAGTAATCTTAAATTGTCCGACAGAAATATGCAGTGTGGCCTCCTTCAAAGGAATCTTACATTGTCCGACAGAAATATGCAGTGTGGCCTCCACTGACCGCGGGTGTTAAATCGCTGTGGTCAAACACTTGACTTTGCAAGGTTCTATGAAAACAGACTTCCTCTTTCATATTAAGCCACACGAATGTTACATAATCTTTTTAACCGCAATCGCCAGTTATTTATATCTTAAAACTTTAAACAATGTTCACAACAATTCACTCGTATTACATAATTGTTTTGACGCGCGTCTTGCGTATGATAACATTTGCACTCATCTACGAGAAAGTAATCTCACTCTAAAATACTGCAATGTTCAAAACACAAGTACACCCCAACAAGACTATAGAGAAATATATATGAAGCGCTCCAGGCGTATCTATTATTGGACCACCTCATTTGAATTATTCACGTTGACTCTAAAAGAATGACATGAAATTTAACCCCAATTGCCCCACCTGTAAGTAAAGTAGTTGCAAAGTCCGTAAGGGTGAGTTATCTGTATGCGAGTGTCAAGGAGTATTCATGTATTGTGTGTGGGGAGCGGTGGCGCAGCGGTTAGCGCGCTGCGCAACGAACCCCGGCGGCCCGAGTTCGATTCCCCTTCAAGGCCATCACCATTGACAAATATCTGAACGTGACCTCCCCTAGGTCGACCCGGCCTCAAATGAGTATCTGGTGCGATGCGTAATCATTGCCACTCGGGGAGACAAAGGCGGCCTGGCGTGGTTGCTGGCCGCCAAAACCCCACATGTGCCTTAGCGGCCTTCATAGGTGCCCGCTAACAGCACTTGCCCCAAAAGTGTGTTAAGGCTACAGGGGGGTGGGGGAACTTCGTCTTTGTGTATGTGTGGAGTGTGGGTCAGTGTGTGTGTGTCTGTATGTGAGTGAGTAGGTGCTCGCTAACAGCACTGGTCCCAACAGTCTGTTCAGGATCTTTGTCTCTGTGTGTGTGTGTGTGTCTGGGTCCGTGTGCGTGTGTGAGTGAGTAGCTGCTCGCAAACAGCAATGCCCCCCAACAGTTTGTTACGGAATACACGGGTGAGGTGGTGGGGTGTGATCTTTGTGCAATAGAGAGAGAGTGACTCAAAAGAGTTTGCGAGATGTTGCCTCAGAATGGCTAAGAGTTATCACCCCCTTCCCCCCTAGCAAGCTGCTGCTGTGGGTAATGGCTCGGGGTTTCCAACACCCGCGGTCCCCTCCCTCGTCTTCATCCCCCTCCTCTCCCTGTGGTTGCTAAGCTGGAGCCGCCATTTTGAGAAACTTGTGGACATTTTAGAACATTGACCACCACCCCTATCCCTTTTTTACTTTACCGGGTTAAACATTTGCCGAGGGGGGGGGGGGGGTTACGATCTTAAAACGGTTTTACACGAATACTCGATGGGTTTGAAAAAAAAATGCAAATAAAACGTGTTTTGTGGGGAGTTGAGAGTCGTACAAGACGAGCGGTTACACTTCACTGAGACCGTGTAGCCCCAATTTGTTAAACCGGGGGTCAGTTGCATAAAAGACGTTTCGGGTCGATTCCTCTGGGCTCATGTTTATTAATTCGGTGTAATTTTAAGGGGGTGGGGGACGATTATTATCACTTGAGGTGTTCTATGCAACTGGCAACAGGATACATTTTCCTCGCAAATGCAAATAGGCGAAATTTGTAAATACGGGAGAAAAATTCTAAAAGTGGACTACATTTTGCCGAATTGGATTTAAAATTTGCTTTTCGTTTTAGACTTGTCAAGTTGATGTTTTATCATTTTAGATGTGTCGTGAACGCTAAGCCTAAATGCACGAACACCTATTGAAAACAGTTGAGAGACACCAGTTGACCAAACAATATATAATTCATCATAAACTGGGACCTTTTTGCCAGGATCAAAGTATGAAAAAGTAATAATAGGTATTATTGCGAGAAAGGGTAAAGCCTATAATTTTTTCATATCACAAACTACTTACGAAGCGAATACCCCACAGGAAGCCTGGAGTTTCGCACCAAAACCACACCCGAAGCTGCGATATGGCTCACAAAACTCCACTTTCAAGATTAGCTTTTCACTCAAAATCTGGCCGCACTTGAGATAAAAAAGACAACCGAGACCTCAAAATCTCGATGAAAGGAAATAGATCTTTCTGAGTAAATAGGGGTGAAAGATTCCAGTGGGAAAGCGACCCCAATTATGTTTAAGCCAATACACTGTGTTAAACCAACGGGAGGGAGATGTTTGGCCAAAAGTGTGTGAATAAAAAAAGCCATCAAAATGCACATTGTCTGATATTGCTTTCAGTGTCGTCTTCCACAAACGTAAATCCCTACGGAGTAAGCTTGATTTGAAGCTCCCTACGGATTTTTACGCACATCTACGGCTTTGCAGGCTATAAAATGGAACATTTGTCAATAACACTGCCTTTAAAAACAAATATATAATGTGCTATGAAGAAGGGTCATGAAACGTCACCAATTTTATATTTTATCAGAGGATGGAAGTGGTTATATTTGTGCTTGTTGCACCACTGCCAACGCAGTCTTTACAAATTAGACAGCATTGTTTGTTTTCATTATTTATTTAAGCATCAATGGCCAATGGCCGTTGGAGCCACAACTGTTTCAGTTTTTTTCAGTTTAATTTATTAGGTATAACCCTGTGAGCCATGCGGCTCTTGACTCGGGTGCAACAGCAACAAAAACATGAACAAATAACATCTTAACTGTTGACCGAGTACGCTGCCTTGTGCCCTCTGGTCAAATATGTAAATAATTGGGTACACTTCCTAACCAAATAATAGTGCAGGCTGGAAAAAACACAAGGTAAAGAATATGCAATCGGGTAAACATCAGAACGGCCTCGGGCATTGTGCAAACTCGTTCAGCGCATTGCATTGTGCTCATATTAGATCCCAGTCTAAATATACTTGAGTAAATGTGACCGACTGATTGAGAGCAACAGTGATAGACAACTATGGGTCAGCTTCATCATAATTAGGACTCGTGGTCACAGTATTATATAGTCCCCATATGCTCACTGTTGCAAAGTCTGCCTCTGGAAACTTATAGTGTGTGGATTACCCACGTGCACTATGGGGGGCCGATTTAGATGGCCTAATTCCAACAATAATATTATTCATAAATGACCAGAAAAAACCCATCCTTTTATCATCGGTTTGTTCAAATTTACTTATTTGACATTTTATTCTTGCACAATAACGTCATGGAATAATGTATGCAACCAAATAAGCTTACACACCTTACCATATTTTTGTCTCCGCATTTTATTTGATCAGCTGATGTGACCGCATGCACCGAAAATTAACGACAGCATATATTTAAGCAGGCATACTGGGCCAATTTATATTTTACAAGTCTCATCAGCAAGAGTATCTTTGAATTGCACGCGGTGCCCAGGCAACTTAAGTCTGCTCACTTGGCAAACCCAAGACATGTGGTGTGGAGCTCGCGAAAACAGAGCCTGTCTTTGTTGACTGGCCAAACACGTGGCCTGCATTCATCGCATGTGGATGAGGAGGAGCGGTGGTACAGTGGTTAGTGCACTGATCCATAAACGCAGCAAACCCGAGTTGGATTCCTCACTATACCATTCATCGCAATGTAAAAAAAAAATGCAAATTTTCTTGCTGTGGATTTCACACCTGATGATGATTGCTTGTGTTGCAGTCGAAACGTCGTGAGAATTATATTGTTTTATATTTTTTATTATTTCCCTTCTACGTGACTTTACCGAAAAAAACAAGAATATGAATCCCTGCAGTCACGAAAGCTTTAAATAAAATAAATAAAAGATTGTTGAATCAGACTGTGACCCTGAATCACGACAGGTTTTGGAATCGTTGCGGGAATCGGTCATTTCACCCACAATCCATTACAAAAAAAACCACACCACATTATGTTTGCCTGGAATAAATAAATGAAAAATACGTGAACAAACACCGTTTCAGAAATGTATTCGCTAAAAAACAGGTAAGTGGACTGAATCCCATTTTAATATGTGTAGAATGTGCTCTGCCGTTTACACATTGCACTGTTTTACCACGACACCACTGGACTGTCGTATAATTTCTAAGAATTCATACAGGTGTTTTTGTTCAACCGGAGCAGGGGGTCGAAATCACGGATGACTTAGGGGGCAGAGTTCCAGATTGTGGGGGCAGCAGAGTAGAATGACAGATGTACGGCAGATTCATTTTCATGAACCTCCTGCTTAATGTTCCATTATTAATCGTGCAGGCATATGCTATTGTTTTCCCCAGCTTTGGACAAATCTTAAAACGAACGATGCGTCGGCTTCATCTTTATAATAATAAGAATTATGTTTAGAATTGTTACGCTATACATGCAAAAACATCCAAAAGGATGACCGCCATGAACACAGAGGGGCGTTGAGATCGGTTCGTGCGCGGGGGGGGGGGCGAGATGGTCGCAGTACTGGACCATGAGGAATGGTGATGGTATGGGGAGGGTTTCATTCAGCAGTGGAGAGACAATGCTGACGGTTATGCAAAAGATTATTTTATTCAACAGCAGAACAACAATACCAATTAAATGTATCAGTAGCCATGATAAATCCGTTGCTGGCTGAAGGCCTCCCTAAGGAAGGAAAGGAGGAAGATGTCCCCTGGCTGTCGGTGGAGATTTTGACCCTAGAATAGAGAATCATAGCATGCTCTGCATGTGAAAATAACATCCCTAAAATAACATCGCTGTTTACGTGCGCATTCTCTACACAGCCTTGCGATGGCCACCAACTTAAACTCCCTCTCCAGCATCATTGCTTCCACTCCCTCACACTCCCGTAAAGGGAAATTTAATTTGAACCCATTTCAAAATCAAAATCAATCACTGTACCTTGATTGCAAACCGGGTTTCCTAATGACATTGATTTTGTCGTGCGCGTAGAAGTGTACCCGTTTGACACGTAGGCGTTCGTGACCAATATAGGTTTTTTTGGGTTATATCTGTGTAAATATAAATGTGTCGTTAAACCTGCCACCACACGACACAGCCAATTAGTCAAATTTGTCACGTAAACAGAACATTGTCAATTAGCTACTAGTTCAACACACTGCCGGTGTGTTGTCAAGTAAACTCAAAAAATGTACAACGTTTCGGCGGTAATATACAACCAGCCTCATCAGGCGACAGTTAGAATTGCGTAGAAATCCTCCGTTGAGAATGAACATGTGAGAGCTTCTCGCATCCTCTGGGCATACGACACACAATATGAATTTAATTTCCATACGACCGCATATCAAGATGATGGCCAGAAATTGCCCACTGGGCAATCAGTCTGCCCTTAATCAAGCTTGAGGGCACCGAGTCCACAGCACAGATGGCTGTTGGGAGTTCCAGATATTGAAGACAGAAGAGTGAGATGAGTGACGTGAGAGTGCAGTGTCACTTCACTTCCTAGCATCCAGACCTCAATTTCCAGAACACATGAATTAACGCTGTCGAAAAAGTCCCATATACAACTATTTTCATAAGCCAAATGCGGGGCTTAGCAGTTGTTGACCTTTCCCTTGCCACCATTAGTGGTTAATCTTTGACGTGACTAGAAGCCAAATGTGTTCTTGGGTCGACCGTCAAAGGCCAGAACGTTACTCACTGGTCCATGCCACAGAAGCCTACCACATTCTCCAGATTGTAAGAAGCTCCAGAGAGTAAGATGGACGACCACATTTTTAAAATTTTAAACACAAGATGGAAAGTGTGTCATAATCCGGAGAACAAGGTAAATCTGCAAAGCATTCTGGGGGTTTGTGCAATTGAGATGCATGTTTTTCAAATTGCACATTACAAACATCTTCGGGTCCCGTTTCATGTTTTGCCCCCCCCCCCTCGTCACACGGCACCACACAAAGTCAGACCCCCCCTCAAATATGACGTCACAAGCTCTGCCCCCCCCCCAAAATAAAACATGCTTCAAATCGCTTTAAACTATTGTCATTGTAGTGCGTATTTAACGTGGCGCTGCACTCTGATGTTGTAGGAGAAAACATTTATTAAAAATTATATTTAATTAAGTGGAACGTGTTGTCTATATTTATTTAAAGTTGCGCATTTTGATGTGACGTTACATTTATCAACCCCCCCCCCTCGTCACATATCGTCACAAATGTCTGACCCCCCCCCCCCAGGTGCGGCCCCCTAAGTGGGTAATTAGAAATCGATGGGATGTCTATAAACGTATCGCCTGTATTACTAACAATGGAGTAAATGGCAGCGGTGCTGTATTCATAACTGTCAACCCATACGGTTTGCCTGTATTCTTGTACAGGGAAATATAATTTTCACGTCCATATGGCATACGGCCGTTTCAATACAGGCACTTTTTTGTTTATTTGTGTTTCTCCCTTGTGATGGGATTTTGTAGGATGAACGTTGAGGTTTATAAGGGCACGGTGGTGATCAATAAGGTCTAAATTGGTCTGTCATAAGGGAGGTACTCATAAGGGGTTGACAGGTATGTGTATTTTTGGCCAGTTTTCACCCACGATTGGATGGGAATAAAGACATTTTTGTCTAGATGAAAATATAGCCTAATGATTTGTAATGCTTCCTCGCAATCGCACTCACAAAGTTATTTCTAAATGCCCTGTTCAGCAGCTCTGCTGCGTTTTTGCGACACATGCTGGGAGTTTAATGAATTAAGAGCTACACTGCCGCCTCCATGAAAGCTTGCTTAGTAGTCTTATGAATGTTCCTTGTAATTTAATGAATTTTTCCAATTGTGTGCGCTTGCGTGTGCATGCGTGTCTTCTCTGGCCTGCAGTCACGGGACCGGAAATATCTGAACGACCTGCAGGGAGCCACCGAATACGGAAGAAAGGCCAAGATCTTCAACATCATCTGCCTCATCCTAGGGATCATTTTGACCATCACAATAATAGGCATCTATGCGAGGATGTTCATCCACCTTTCGCAGCAGGTTCACAGAGATCAGGACTCCATTAACGGCTGAGAGCGGGACATACACACAGGAGAGGCACGCTGTCAACACCAAAAATTATTTAAGGCACTCGGGTTAAACGCCAGACATGGAGTTAGGTTCATGGTTAGGTCAAGTGCTAAGGGCTGGTTTAGTCGTTTGTTTTAAATTAACAGTAAGCCTGTGGATAAGCATTGCTCCCATAATGATGTGTTTCCAACCTGTGGCGTTGAACGGTTGGTATGGGACTTGGCGCGATAGATAGATAAACCCACTGTGTCCTCCCTTGCCCACCATTATCCACGTTTGGCCTATTCACTTGTAGTTCTTTTGTTGCTGTAGGGGCCCTGATTTCATATTGGTGAATATTTTTTTCATGGGAAAAAAACATCCCGTTGGTGTCTATCATCAAAAATGGGTCAGTACCGTAAACACGATGGCTTTTCGGGCATGCCATCAGAATGTTAATCTAACCATTGGTGTTCACAGCGAGCTTTTCCGTGATCCTCTACGCACGCACAGACACACGCAACACGTGTACGGAGACGCAGGGACACACATGACACCACTTTTCGCTACATGCATTGTAGATGTGTATCTTGTCATAAGAGCCGGTGGGAAGATTGCAGGTGGGGGGGGGGGGGGGTTCGCTGCGTTGGCGGTGTAGTTGTATGTGTTAGTGTGCGTACGTATAGCTTTTCGACAATGTGCTTTCGGGTTGTACTGCACGCCGTTTGCCGTGACGTCCTACGTTTCGCGCTGTGTGCTGGGAACCTCTCACGAAACGAAACACCACAACACAACCAGGTAACACATGGGAAAGCTATACAGCGCTACCTGCAAAAAAAACACAAATGTAGTGTGGTAGTGTGTGAGCTTCATATTCTCTTGGGGTAAAATAGGGCTTTGGAATGCTTTTTGTTATCCAATTGTGTGTCTAAAGCTTTTTAGGCTCGGTGTTTGCATGGTAAACTACTTAGGCCACACTATTTCTAAGACCGATGTGCCCTGTGCCTTTCGCAAACCAAAGCAAGCGTACAGGCGGCATTGTTATTAGAACCACACCTGCACCGACTCTTATCGACGGGAAGTATATGCGGTATACAGCCATTCTGTTTTTATAAAAAAATTCATGTATTTGGTTTTGTCTCTCTTTTTAATCGTGTATATTTTTGTTTAACTCACTTTGATTACATATGCAGTTGGCACAATGGGCTTATATTTTCACGTACTAATTGCATACTGCAAGATCGTAAAAAAAAATTACAGCAAATATAATTATGGTTTTGTCCAGATGACCTCGAATCTTTATGTTTAAGTGTCGAATGAAATTATAACATTCACTAAACGTTATCTTCATGCTTATTGTATGCATTGTTATTCAGCAGGTCGCACATATAATGCTGAGAGGGAGGGTGAAGCATTTTGTTATCCAAAGCCTTAGCTATTAACATACATGACTGTTTACAATATTTCGATACATCTCCTCGAGCCTGGAGCCAAACCTCAGCGATCCAGTTGCATGCAACTGAATCGCTCAATTGCATGCAACTGAATCGCTCATCTGTGGACGTCCCTGCAATCCGTTGTGAGCAGCTGCGCAACAGTAGAGACAGACCCGCGAGTATCGGTTCTGCTCCGCGATCGGTCGCGAAGTATTTCGCCGTGCGTATTTGTCGCCTACGATTGACCATTACGATCCTCAATCCGCGGTTTTACCTTCCCTGGCTGCGCGAGTGTGCGGAGGAGAAGCGGCTTATCGCGCATCATTAGGAAGAAGATTTCCGCAAGTATTGGTGGGAGGGGGGAAATGTGTGCAGACACGGGCAGGCTCGCTGCGGATAAGATGACCACGGATGAAAGAAGTTCGTGAACTTAGCACTGGGCAAGTGTGTCAAAAGCAAAACATAATGTACAAGCCTCAACTGTTTGAAGGATTTTTAAACATAAAGGGAATTTATAATTAAGTACGGGGGGTGAGGAGGGGGTGGGTTTTCATTTTGCTGGACTTTTCACTTGCTGGTGCTGTGAGACTTTAACGCGTGAACATATTGTCCAGTCTGATAAAAGTTGGTGGCCTCTTGCTCAACGTCCTCGGTTCTCACAAGTATCTCTTAAGGGGGTTACCTAAGACTTAAGTTACCCCCAGCACCAAATAAAAGGGTATTTTCCGTTATTTTTGTGACCCTCACATATCCATCCACTCATTCTGGCAGGCTTGCACGCTGCTTGACGCGTAAAAGGCAGCACTTAAAGGTGACCATAACCCACAATGTCTTGTGATGCCTCCCATACCTCGCCGTTGATTCCTTCTGCCAGATCCATTAGTTACAACGTCGGCAGCTTCCAACGTCTTCCCTTATGCAATCCGATCACCAGCACCATCCGCTTTTTGAGGTCATCCCTTGTGACACCGTCGATACGTCCATCAAGGACCACTTTTACAGTCTCATCATCGCTGGCGTCAGGTTTCCCGTCTTGATTGCCGACTTCTGCGCGTGCCCCTCCACCCAACGCCTGTCTCGGTAACCTGCAGCGCCTCCGCGCTGGACACGCGTTCCACCCAGCGCAGACTCCGCCCGATAACAAACGGGAATCACGTCTCGCCACGTAGTCTCAACTTTCTAAGTCGCCTACCCCATCCTTTACAAGATATTCCAAGCATCCTCCGCGGTCACTTCTGTAGGTCTCGACGTCGTTAAACTTCAAAGACGCGGCAAAAGGAATTCTCGCGCGCCTTTCACCGCCCGCGGTCCTCTGTTCTCCAAATGAGCCTGCCACATATATAAACAACAACCAACGATGCCTGCAACTTTATTTTTTTTTCTCTCGGGAATGCATCGCCTGCACGAGGTATGGGCCAAACTCTGCCCGATCCTACGAGACGCATGCCAACGTTTTTCTCGTGGTCGAGAGCCGCATAACACGCGGTTGTTGTCACGCGACCGGTCGGTCGTGCCAGATAGTCGTGGCGTTTCTACATTCTGGGTGGGGGGGGGGGGCGAGTGCTCCAGGCCGTTCCCGCGTCTGCAGAGCTGTTGTTTTTCTTCTGATGAAATTCCATTTTTATTGACCGCCACTAAAATTTGCTTTGTGCCTCTGCCGAGCCACGCGCTACAGGATCCGCTCGCGAGCTACATGTGTGACTCACAATCCACGCTTTGGCCACGCCTTGCCAATCGCTACTACGTGAGCAGTGTTAAAACGTGGCCTGTTGACGCGGAATATATTTCGACATATATGTGTGAATGTTGTACCCTACGTATGGATTTGTAATAACATTGATACCAATAGATACATAGCTTGGAATGCATTTGCCTCTGTGTTTTTTTTAGTTTGAGCCGTTTTCTTTTCTTATGCATTCTTTGTGTGAGCTTCACAAATCCAGTGCATCTGCGAAGGGGGTCTGGGAGGTTTGAAATTCTTTACATTTGGAAATCATTGTGTGAGCTGGGAGGCATTAATAGTGTTTGCACAGGAAACGGTCGTGGCCCCATAACTTCTACCAGATGCATTTCAGTTACTGAGCACTCCCCCCCCACCCACTCTGCCCCATCCTAACGATGAGTTGTAAACACGGTGTGAGTTTAAGCATCACGGCAGAAGAATTGGACATTTGAAGCCGCCCTGTGCTGCAGCGGTGCCTGAGAGCGGTGGGCGTAGCTTTTGAGTGTGCAAGCGATGCAACTTGCATCAGACGCCCCACACTGTCAGAGAGGGGTGGGGCTGCACTGGGACACGAAAAACAGAGGGGGTGAATTGGATAGGGTACTTCATTGTATTACTTTCCCCAGGGCCCATACACCACTGGCTGGGAAGACTCATTATAAGGGTAAATGCGAGCCACAAAACGGCTTCCATTAAATGGAAGCCTTCAGGCCTTGTTATTTAACCAAGTTGAAACGGTTCGAGCACAGCATGGAGATCTTCGTCGTTACGTACACGTGCGAGCTCTTTTTTTTAATCCACTGCTGGATGAGTGCGTCTGCACACTGGGGGTTTTGACCATACGTCACCGCGCTCATCAGCGCGGGTCGGTGATGGCAGGAAGCGTGGCTGCGAAAGCATAGTACAGCACAACAAAGCATTTTGGTGCACCGAAGTGGGCAACAGGATGGCGATGTGGGCAGGGTAGTACTTGCGCAACCAAGTTGGCATGGGGCCTGGGGCGAGGAATGCAGTGGGGCCCACATGGTACCCATTACCTTCCCCGCTGCACACCTTGCAGCTTACGCCACTGGTGAACCGTCTTGCGCAAGTCTATACACCAGGGATTCAGATTTTTTTTTTCTTGGGGTGTTTATTATTTTAGCGATTAACAAAAAAATATATTTTTTTTATACTTTTGTAGCTTTGGATTATACTGTAATGGGTAAGATAATTTTCATTACATTTTTTTTAATCAGTTAATACCTGTCCTAATTTTTTTTGGAAAATAATAACCAGATCATCTTTAGTAATAGAAAAAAACATTGCCCTTTGCTGGAAAGATTGCGATGAATTATTAGATAACTTAAATATATTCAATATTTTTTTCCATGAACGAAATATATAACTCGACACAAATGGAATAACCATTTATGTCGTTTTCGTGTTTATTGCGTAAGAGCCGAAGACCAAGTGGCCCGCAATCCTAAGCAGAGTTGAGCCAGAATGGTGCTGGGATGGGTGGACTCTGTACAGAACAGAACAGGTGCTGTAGGCAGTGGGGCTACATTGTGTGTGGGTAGCAGAGGGCAGTGCAGAACAATACTTTATTGTACTCTACTTCCACGGTCCAGCACCTGTACTGACCAGCGGCGTGAAACGATAGCCATGTAACCCCAAGACACGAAAGATGTGGGTATACCGTTCATCCAGCAGTGGATTAGCCCCCCCCCCCCCGCACGCCAGAGTGCGGATAAGAGGAGTGGGGGCGCATGGGGGCGCGCGAGGTAATAACTGTGTCAGTAGCGATAGGAGAGCAATATGGAGGTGCGTTGACCGACTTTAACTCGAATCCTAGGAAAGCTAAGTTCAACTTCGCACATCTCGAGTTCACTGTTCCATAGCAAACAAGGAGCTTGACCATGGTGTCATCTTAATAGCTGTGTGTGTGTGTGTTTTTATGCCACTGATATTGCCAAACTTAGACGGTTAAGTGTCAGTGAAGAGCGTCACGTCAAATGTATTTAGGACATTCTGATAACCGAGGAATGCCACTGCATACACTCTGCCGCCAAGCGAACTTGTGAGTGCTGTTGCAATGTACAGTTCATAAATACTACTACTTAAGGGCTCTCTATACATTCAGGAAAGCCCCAACTTTAATCGCAAGCTCGTTTTTTTTTTGCTTTTGTTCAGGAGGGACCCGCCACAAATGCGGAGTGTTTGGCTAATTCCACGGTCACACGAAACAAAGTTTCTCTGTGTGCCTATGTTTGTTCTCTCTCTATGTATATCTGTGCTATCTGTCTGCTTGTATGTCTGTTTATATGTCTCTGGTTCTGTGTTTTATCGCTCTCTCAAATTTAGCATTCTCAGGAAGAACGTAATCAACCAGGTAGGGTGTTGACTGTTATGTTATCCGACTCTCTGTTGTATTACATTACATTTCTAAGTATACTAGATTTGTGTTTCTATTTCATTTATACACGATGATGATTGCTTGTGTTGCAATCTAAACGTCGTATGCTAGTATTTAATTTCTTATTTGATCTTTATACGTGACTTTACCGAAAGAACCAAAGAGTAATTCCTGCAGTCACAAAAGCTCCAAATTAAGTTTGAAACAAAGGAAATCCGCGAGGACGCGAACCTTTCACCTTCGCGAGGGGACAACAGTCGCAGCTCTGCACGCGAATGGATTTTCAAACCTCATTGAGAGGCCCGCAGAGGAAGATGGTGCGGCCCCTCCCCCCACCTCCCCCCAATGAGAAGTTCAGCCGGTTTGTAATGTTCTGCACATGTACAGCTTTTGTCCATCCATTGTCGGCTTATCTGATTTTAATTTTTTCGACAGAAAGCTAGGCAGATGTGATTATGAAGTATTATTCTCTGTATATATGCCGAGTCCCTCTCTATAGGGCGACTCCAAATAATCATGAGCGTCGTTGTGGAGACTGTAAATCAGGGGTGGGGAACGTCCGGCCCGCGGGCCGTGTAAGGCTCGCGAAATCATTTGGGGTCTGGCCCTGCCAAGGCAACCGCAGGCGGGACTCGAAATTCAATAAATCTCGGAGCAAACCTGGAAAAGCAGTTGCGAGTAGCAACATCATCAATACCAGCTAACATCATCACACGCCTCGCCAAAGAGACGCAGTTCCAGCCATCGCATTAGGGGTGAGTTAATTAAATGTTTGACCAAATATAACAGGCAAATTTGTAAGTTGATCATTTTGTATGGCCCGCGAATGATGTTATATAAATATCCAAATGGCCCTTGGCAGAAAAAGGTTTCCCACCCCTGCCCTAAAGAATTAAATTCAATAATAAGTACGTCCGATTTATAACGAGCACAGAATTCGTGTAGCGAGTCGCTCACAAAAGTCAGAGGTGCGGCAGTCCATGAAGGAGACAATTCCTCTCCTCCAGGTGTCTTCTCTCCCGCATTCTTAACGCAAAGCCATCGGCCCCACGGCCCTCGCCGGGGGTGATACTTTCAGCAGCATTGACCGGGTTGCAACGTTTGCACCGGTTTCGATACAAAGCGTCTCATCAGCGGAGTCAGGCTTGCTTCAAGCAATGCTGCTGAACTGCCAGACGTTTAAAACAGCGCTCCCCAACATTTTTGGCACCAGGGACCGGTTTCGTGGAAGACAATTTTTTTACGGACTGGCGGGGGGGGGGGGGGGGGAGTTCATCATTGGGTTTTTCCCCATTTTCAAAGAAGCTCTCCAGCGACGTTTGTTTTTGACTCATTTTGGCTAGGGGTTAGCCGCTTGTGGGCTTACCACAACTGTAACAAGTGCGCAGTGCGGGAAAGAGACGCGGACGGAAGTGGTAAATACAATAATGGGCGGGCCACACGCGGACTCACCACTCACCTCGTGCTGTGCGGCCCGGTTCCTAGCAAGCCACGGACCGGTACCGATCTGCGGCCCGGGGGTTGGGGACCCCTGGTTTAAAAGACAGGAACCCTCTCCCAAAAGGTGTGGGTGCTGCCTGGTCCAACACAATCTCATACGATACGTAACTCCTAATACTAATTTGCGTTGTTGTGGTTGAAATAACAAAAATAGATGATAAGCAATGCTAAGAGTATATCTACAGGGTGCTATTGAAACGACACGAACGACGAACTACTAGGAGCTTTCGCGACCAATATCATTCATAATACAAGTTTTTTGGGTTAGATCGCATAAATATATAAATGTGTCGCTAAACCGACCACCACCGACACAGACAATCGGTAAGCTTTGTCACGTAAACATAACATACCAATTCGTTACTAGTACAGCACACCGGTGTTTTGGAGAGCAAAGCCACAACATTTGCAATCTGAGTACGACGTTTCGCAAGACGACAGCCACAAAACTGGCAGTCGCATAATGAAGCGAGTTGTAATTACTGGCGAAACGTTGTACTCAGATTGTAAATGTTGTGGCTTTGCTCTCCAACACACGACCGGTGTGCTGTACTAGTGTAGTGCACTGACTTCGGAGACGATATTTTAGAGGCACCTTCTTTTATTAACACACACGATCTCGCCTGCACACACTCCGTACTCGCTAGCCTTTGGCACAACACTCGCCGTCTAGCATCGGCGGCGCTGACCAAGACAGTTGACAGGCCATCTAGCAGCGTGACGTCGAGCGAAGACTGCAGTGACGATGGCGACGAGACGACATCTACGACGAGACGATCCAATTCCCACAACGGCAGCCTCGAGCTCCCCGCTCTCGGCCCCTTTTATCCTAGCAGCGTGGCCTGCCTCTGCCCTGGCCCCGCCTTCCTTCTAGCAGGTTCCAGGGGCTTCCAGATGGGCCCCTCTATGACCCTTCCCCAGTTCTTCCTCCCTGCCAACACACCCGTGTATATGCTCACTGCCGTGTGTACTGTTTGTACACCGCAGTTGCCGCTGTTGGTCACCAGCCAGTGCTATTACACTACACTAGTAATGAATTGGCCATGTTCTGTTTACGTGACAAACTTTACTAATTAGCTATATCGGGTGCTGGCGGGTTTTAACAACAAATTTATATATCTACGCGGTCTAAGTCAACAAAAAAACCTGTATTATGGTCAGTAACAATACTAGGTCCGGGCTTCGTGCTCGGTCTTGAAGCTTGTTCCTTCCCTTTAACATCCCCTCCTTTTGTACTCTGCCCTTTTATATCATTTACCCCCCCCCCTTTCTCGAATGCTCCCTCATTCTTTCCCCCCCTTAGCCAATCCCCGTCCTTCTCCCTCTAACGCAGGGGTGGGGAACGTCCGGCCCGCGGGCCATATAAGGCCCGCGGAATCATTTGGTTTGGCCCTGCCAAGGCAACCGCAGACGGGACTCGAAATTTAATCAATCTCAGAGCAAACCTGGAAAAGCAGTTGCGAGTAGCAACATCATCATCAATACCAGCAGCTAACATCACGCTCCTCGCCAAAGAGAAGCAGTTCCAGCCATCACATTAGGGGTGAGTTAATTAAATGTTTGACCAAATATAACAGGCTAACTTTTAAGTTGATAATTTTGTATGGCCCGCGAATTATGTTATAAATATCCAAATGGCCCTTGGCAGAAAAAAGGTTCCCCACCCTTGCTCTAACGGATCCCAACCGTAGCCCATGGAGTTTTTCCCGCCCAATTCTCTTTAAAAAAAAGTTTTTTTCTCCTCCAATCACCTCACAAGCCTGCCGCACGACCAATCACTGTGGAGGCCTCTCGCAGCCAATCGGAGACCTTGATCGCTTTTTGAATAACCGTTATGCTGCACATTGGCTTGGGGTGGGTGAGTGTTTGTTAATTTCGGCCATTGTACACTATGAAGCAAAGGCCAATTGTCTGAAACGCCACCAGTTAAATATTTCAAACGTTCAGGCCACAGTGCTGTGAACAAATATATTTGCGTTTGTTTTAGAGGTAAATATAGAGTGAGGTTGCAAAGAGTCCAAAAAACCCTGTGCGTATTTTTAAACTTCCCCGCCGAGGTATGTAAGTTTGTTTTCCTCTATAGGACGTATATGTGCGACACTGCAAATAGTAGTCCCAAAATACACGCTCGGGCACGGGGGCGCACGATAAATCCTGAGCCTTACAAGGCGCCCAGTGACATTGGCTGAGAGCGACACTCACAAATTGAACCAACAATGTGGCGCAGTCCACGTGTCTCACGGAGCCTCGACGGTGTTGCTAGTGCAAAAGGCCGCTTGCAAGTATAACAACGCTTAGGATACCATCGTAATATGTGACGACGCTATAATTTCACCGTAAGATGTGACAACGCCACGATATCATCGTAAGATCTGACATATCATCCGTTCTGAATATTCAATTGCACTTTTTTGGGAAACGCGATCGTCGCTAGAATTGTCTCCTTTGGTGGGTGACATGAAACACGACACCTCCGTGGCTGCCGTACCTCAAGCGATTTCTACGGTGTATGTGTGTGACGTCTACGATGTGTGTGTGTGTGACATCTGTGTGTGTGTGTGTGACGTCTGCAGTGTGTGTGTGTGAGACATCTACGGTGTGAGTGACATTTGAGGTGTGTGTGTGTGACATCTTCGGTGTGTGTGTGTGTGAGACATCTTCGGTGTGAGTGACATTTGAGGTGTGTGACATCTTCGGTGTGTGTGACATTTGAGGTGTGTGTGTGTGTGACATCTTCGGTGTGTGTGACATTTGAGGTGTGTGTGTGTGACGTCTGTGGTATGTGTGTGTGACATCTACGGTGTGTGTGTGTGACATCTACGGTGTGTGTGACATCTGACAGACATCGGCCGATACCTCTGACATGTCTTCGCGTTGTCCTGCACGTTGGGGGAACACTCATGCCTCACACCAAGAAATACCCCTGGGCTCCGATTCACATAACTCGGGGATTTTGATCTGCATGGGTTTCCTCCAGATAATGTCGGACGTGATGGGAGCCTCGCTCCCCCCTAGGTCGATTCAGCCTGAAAGTATCTGGTGCATCGTGTAAAATATCGCATCAAGGGGTAGTGGAGTGTGTTGGCCACCTGGTACCCACTCGTGCGTCGAGCAGGCCTTAATAGGTGCTCGCTAACTGCTCTTGCGTTGACAGCATACGCCTGTCCCCAGCATGGAACGTGGGGCCAACGTTGTTCCATGGTTGCACACACATAAAATATGGTTCATGTAATTCTAGATTTGAAGCTTTCGTGACTGCAAGGATTCATATTCTTAGGTTTTTTTCGGTAAAGTCACGTAGATAAAAAAATTAAATTTCAATTAATAAAAGTAAAATAAAATAAAAATAAAGTAAAAATCACGACGTTTCGGAGGCAACACAAGCTTCCGGCTTGCTGTATCATTTACTTATTTTATTTTACTTTTATTAATTTTAATTCTTTACCTACGTGACTTTACCGATAAAACCTAAGAATATGGTTCATGTAATATTTAGTCAGTCTGCCTTTGGACTTTCCAGATAAATATTGCCAACCATTATTGTTTTACAAATAGGCAAACAGCGAACCGGTTTCAATTTCTCTGATACCCATCAGCAACGTTTTCCCTTTAAAAAAAATTACGGAAATATACCGCATACACATGTTAGGCTGTGCACTATGTAATTAGATTCTACAAGGGACAGTACAATTGCATGCAATCTTAGCTGATTAACGACGGTGGCTTTTCTGTCTCTCCTTTCATGACGGCTTTCTCGAGGTTTTTAATCGTTTTCGTCAAAGCACAGAAGCCTCCCTCCCCCCTTTCCTTGTAAGGGCAATTCGACTGCACTGATGACCCATCACCTACTAAGGCCAGCGCTTTATATTGCTTTTCAAAACGCCAGCATGGGGTGTACTCTGTTCCCGAACTATCGGACTTGAGTCCATGGTACAAGCAAGGTGTTTTTTTTAGTTGTACCCCAGGCATCAGGATAAACAGGCAAGAGGAGGTTGCCATTCCTCTATGCTCAACTAATCTCAAATCTTCTCTCCCTCCTGCTCTTCTTCACGCCAGTTCAAGTGATGATGGACGGGTGGCAGGTGAGTATACGTGTACTGTGTAGTAAACGCGGGTCTCATAGCTGTATGTGTGTTTCACACGCGAAGCGTTCACCCGAGGAGATGGAGCAATTACAATTCAGTCCGTGTGTAGGCGGGAGATGCCAGCGGCTTGGAGGGGCCTTCATCTAGCAGTGGATTATTAACCATGGCTAATGGTGATGATGAACCATCGGCTCACAGAGGAGTTCTGGGTGTGTGTGTTTTGGACGCGTGCGAGAAACGGGGAGTTCTCCGTGCAAGGCAGGAGAGCAAGTAGGTTGGTGTTCTCCGTCAGTGCGCTTGGATTGAGTGTTCGTTCTTGCCTACGAGTTCACGTGACCTCAAATTGCACAGCAACAATAACTGGTTCACAATCCACGTTACCATGACGGGGCTAGGTATACTCTTGACTTCCCACTGGCCGGTGCTGTTAACTCGCGCTGTGATTTTATATTTGAACCCTGCAGGATCAATAATAAAGTGGCATATTCTTACACGTTCACGGTGTAGTTGTAAGTTTGTGCATAGTAAGGGTTTGGGTAAAAATACGCTTCAATTTAAATCCGTTAAGTTTCACGACTATGCATATACATCGACTGGTATGTGTGATAATCAATGGTTCGTTCCCTATAGGCTGGATTTGATGGATCTACAATGCGTGACCTCTCCAGCAGCTAGAGGCCGCTACATTGAGCACAAAGTTCAAATGAAAACCGAATATTTTTTTTTACGTAACTCGGAGAGTAAATCGCTGCAATTGCATCCTGATAGGCGTGCGAGTCTGAGCGAGGAGGGAGGGAGGGTGGTTATTCAGTCCACGGTGGCGAAATGTCAAATACCTCGCCTGGTATGGAGGAGGTTGTGGGTTCGAACCCGACTTTGACGTCCGTTGCATATTTGGAGTTTGCATGTCTCTTTCCCCGTGGTCGCGTGGATTTTTTTCTAAGTCCTCCAGTTTTTCCCGTCCACATTTAGAATGGACAGGCGTTTCGGGTATTTGACTACTGCTAGACATTTTCACGTGATAAGCCACTTCGTTAAGCTATCATTTGTGGCCAGGTCGCTTCTGATAAAGAGCTACATAGCTCAGCGTGCCTTACCTGGAAAAAATTGTTTTAGTTTAGTTGATACCCTGAGTATAGTAAATAGGTTATGCGGAAAGCAATCACACTATACATTGCTTCTGGCAATCGCGACCTGAGTGTAAGCCACGTGACGTGTAAACTCGAGTCGTGAGTTGGTCGAGTAACGAGGACGGGATGGAAAGCCCTTGGAAACTAATACATGCATCAACAAATCAGATTTTGTCGAAAATTAAATCAAAGGGAAAAATATCTTCATTTGAAGCTTTCGTGACTGCAAGAATCCATACTCTTTGGTTCTTTCGGTAAAGTCACGTAGGTATCACATAAAAGAAAATAAATCACGACGTTTCGGGCGCAAAACAAGCGTCCGTCATCAGGTGGGAAAGCATGTATTTATTATTTATTTTTATCTACGTGACTTTACCGAAAGAACCAAAGGGTATATAAATAATTAAGCGTCGCGACAAAGAGCGTGCCACACGCATGCACAGTAAACAACCGTGTTTGCTTGACGCTATCTCTGCCCTTTGCACAAAGGTAGTGCCCAGGCTTAAAGTTAAGGTTGTTCATTTAACCGGGTGTTATACTTTCTTCATGACAGCTTGAAAATTGTGAGGTGCTTAAGTAAAGGAACCGGTTACGTTGGGTATATATATAGTATTTACCAAGTAGCCTAAATGCTACCACCCCGCATGCTTCACCGAAGCTGTGGGTCTGCAAGGGAGGTCCGTGCGTCTCCCCGACGTCTCCCCCCATCCACCGTCCACCCCCGGCAGTGTATCCCACGCAAATTCCGCGGGCAGTGCTCATTTAACAAAAAAAAAACAATGCAATTTATAATAAGCTTCAGATGTGATACTTATTTTTTTAATCCGATACATTTTTATGATGGACATTGTTGTTTGCCACGGAAACAACGTTCCCCATTACTGTATATTAAATCAATAAACTAATCTGTTGGTCGCAAGTCATCAAGCGAAACGATATTGGGCCAGTCCACGTGTGGGTTTTTCGGAGTTGGGCTGCCGCACGCTGCTGTGGACACCTTCACGAGTTGAAATTGACGATGAGCCCGCAGTAGCGAATGCCCAGAAACAATAAACCGCTCAACACGCAGCCCATCGTGGAAGAGAAAAAAAACCTCACTTTGATGACAAAACCTCCAAGTTAAATTGCACCAACGTGGGCTGCATTCTCGCTGTGTGGCTTGGCAGCCAGTGTTCTGCTGATCGGTGCCACGTATCTCTCCCCACGTTGGAATTTGACTTGCAAGGCTAAATGCGGCCATGTTGACCCAGTGTTCAGATCATTTGCCCGTTGTTTTTTTTACGCTGTTATGCTGCCTAGAATCTACTGTCACGACGCTTCGCGGTCCACCCTAAATCGCATCCGCTGCACAAAACCATGACAGCAGATGCGGATACCTGATGCATAAATGTTAAATTAAAAACTCTCAAGCAGTGTGCAACTGCCGTTATCCAAAACAGACCGTACAACGTCCAACGACGCAATGCCCCAATCCACAAGTACGAAGGGGACATCACAGCGATACAACTCCGCTGCTCCTGACGACCCGGTTAACTGGCTTGACCAACCTCGGTGTGAAATTGTAGTTGATGCTCTGCATCTACATGAACAGTCATACGAAAGAAATAAGACTGCGAAACTCGTGCAACAGCACTTCATACAAACCCACAGTTCCATAGAGAAGTGCTCCAACCACAAACTTCCCTGCCGATTTAAGGAAATAAAAGCATGGTATGAAAGAAGCAAACCAGGTGGCAAAACCCCCCTTTGCCGCAAATGCGTGCACATATGACAACCGGTCATGTTCGACTTTGCAACCGTCCACAGATTCACATTCTGGCGATGTGGTATCAAGGTCGGCATCGAACCTGCGACACACCAGGCGAGGCAGTTAACGTCTCGCCACTGCGGCGAACAGGGCCAGGGGAAGGTCAAATGAAACGTGCAATGTGTGTAACGCCGTTCAGTAGAGTGAGGACAAAGCGTCATCGTGCCATCTACACGCGAGAGAAGTTCAATGTGCATACGTGCGTGTGACGTCAGCGTCACGGCCCGGGTTCTGCAGTGGAAAAATAAATAGGCAATTTGGTGTTTCCTGAGCTGTGCCATGCCGGCTCAGCATGGTCACGGCTCATCTGTGCAGTGGAAAACAAATGTTTTGAGACGGTGTGTGTAGGGGACTGTTTGACCAAGTGGCAGATGTGGGTCACAGTGCGGTGGGTAGTCAATAGGACTGGCCATTTCATCTCTCGTCTCGTTTCGCACCTCCCATCAGCATGGTTGGCTACGTGCATACATCCGTACATACGTTGCCGGATGTTTTCTTCTCTTTCATATCGTAAGTTATGTTTGCTCTGATGGCTGTGATGCCTACCCCGCCGGGATCCAGAGAGATCGGCAACCAACGATCCAAACAACAAACCGCAAAGCCTCCCACGTCGCACACGCCGCGGAGAGGCCCTCATCCAGCAGCGCGTTGACAACGAGGCATCTGCGTGTGCACTGGATGCATCGTTTCGCTCACCCCTCCCCCTCCCCACAAGCCTGAGTGCCAAACGCCAGGGCGACTGCTTGGCCAGTTTCGCCGGAATGTGAACCCAGCTGTTAGTGTGTGCGAGTGTGCATGGTGTGCGTGTCGTGGTGACGTCACCGCCACTTAGTAGCGAATGGCGGTTGTTGTGTTGTTGGTGTGTGTGGTGTGTGTAGTGTGTGGTGTGTGTAGTGTGTGTGGTGTAGGTAGTGTGGCGGTCAGCGCGCTGCGCTATGAACCCGGCGACCAGGGCTCGATTCCCGCTCACGGCCAGCACCAGTGACGATTGTCTGAACTGGTCCTGGGCCTCTCCCCTAGGTCGACTCAGCCTCAAATGAGTACCTGGTGCGGTGTGCAAACTTCGCCACTGGGGAAACAAAGGCGGTCGGGCGTGGTGCTGGCCAACCACCCCCTCGTGTACCGTCCCGGCTTTCATAGGTGCTCGCTGACAGCACTTGCCCATACAGCCTGTAAGGCTATACGGGGAGTCTTTGTATTTGGCCACCCGACTCAGCCTCAAATGAGTACCTGGTGCGGTATGCAAACTTCGCCACTGGGGAGACAAAGGCGGTTGGGCGTGGTACTGGCCACCCACCCCCTCGTGTACCGTTCCGGCTTTCATAGGTGCTCGCTGACAGCACTTGCCCCTACAGTCTGTTGAGGCCATAGCGGGGATCTTTGTGTGCACGTGCTGCACATCGTTGCTCACTCTGGACAGGAATGTCTTTGTGTTGGAAGGTCAGAGGTCGTTGCGATCTGCCCATTCCCTAGCAGCAATCATCATCATCATTCCCTTCCTCCTCCCTAGCTCTCTCTCTCTCTCTGGTGTGTTTTCTTTTTTTTTGGTTGTGCCGCGCGTTTGTTCGGCACGATGTCCGACGTTTCGCATCACGAGCTGGGAGATGCTTCTTCGTGAGGAAGAGAAATGAGCCGCTCAACGTCACGGTCCACGTACAACGCCGCCGCTGTGAATGGAAATGGTTGAGCGGTGCTTTGGTGAACGTGGCGAAATGAATGCATATCTGTTCATCTCATAATCGAGCACTGTCCATTATATATATACACGATTCTCGATCACCAGACTCAACATGCAGTTGTGCCAATTGCACTTTGAAATCATAAAGGGTTTTTTTTTTGGGGGGGGGGGTGTTAGATAAACCGTTACCCCACCACCATCCGACACAGCCAATTGGTGAGGTTTGCCACCTAAACAAAACGTGACATTTAGTTTCGACTTGCGCACACCCGTGTGTTGGAGAGTATACCCGCAACATTTACAGTAGTGTGACGCGTCGCCGGTGACGACGACAACAACGAGCCTTCATCAGGCGATTTGCCAGGATTTTAGTATTTTTTTT